CAAGATCCAGAAGCAAGGGAACTCCAGAAGACTTGTCACATTTAACTTTGCAACCTCCAGACAAAAAAAGAGAAGAGGAAATAAAGGATTTTATAGAAAACATCCTTGAGGCAGGGTTCAGTGTTCAGGGTTCTCCAACACACACCAATAGCTTTGTATGAATGTGACAACACGAAGTTCTCCTAAAGAATAAGTCAATTAATTGCCTGCTCACCTCTCCAGAGTAATACAGATTATGTTCCCAAGAAGGGACTCTCACTGACCAATACAAATTATCTCACAGCCTAGTGGATAATAACCAAATATTTAAATTATATGTAGGTTTTCCTAAAATATTTTTTAAAAATCATGCCTGAAACTTAACAACTGACATTGATCATTAAACCTGTCCCTAAAGTCCTAGTTATTTTGCTACTAACTCCCTATTTTTTTCCATGTTTTTTTGCTTTTCCCCCTACACTGCCATAGGAGATTTGTGCCAGAATTTCATTTTTTCAATAGGAAAAATCACTAGTGGTCTTCTGAAGGAGAAAAGCAACAACTTCAGCAGAAATTAATCAGCTAAATTCAATTTTTAATTGTAAAGAATCTCAAGATGAACACTTAAAAGACTCCATCATGTCTTGTGGGGATGAAGCAATAGCCTTAGCTAAAAATTAAATTATTTGTGTGTCTGAATCTGAGGCATATTTAAAATACTACTATAATACCATCAAAAAGTAATGTTGGTTCCAAGTAAAGATTTACTTGATGACAGATTTTCCAAAGACCATACATATATAACTTATTTTATCTTTTATTAGACATATCTAATAAACTATATATAGTTTATAATGGCTTTAGATCTCATCTATAATAAGATATATTTAATATATAACAAAATAGATATTGTATATTTTATTAGATAATAAGTTAAGAGTTATATATATCTTTTATTAGACCAACCAATTTAACTGAAAAACCAGGCATTTCTGCAGGAAGTTGTAAAGGACACCAGGGAGTACCCAAAAAAGCAGCTTTTTCAAATGCGGCCTAATCTAGAAAAATCATTCCCTCCTCCCTGTACTGTGTGGAATGGGGTACCAGATTTCTCCAAGATACTGATATGGTTCACTTGCTTGTTGACATGTTTACTGCTGAATATGACAGTCAAAGCCCTTTGATGTTAACTATAGAAAATCAGTAATTAAAATCTGTCACATTCAATTACTTCTAGCAAAAAAAAAAAAAAAAAAAAAAAAAAAAAAAAAAAAAATCCCGGAAAAAAATTTTCCGGAAAAAAAAAAAAATTACTCCGGAATCAAGCTTCCTGGACAAAAATTTAGTTAACAAACATAAGATCTTAAAATAGTTTTGTGTAAAGGACAAATCTATACCATATGATTCAGGATACCAAATAAACCATTGCAAAGAACAGACCAGATACACACAGCTCCACATACCCTTGCTGAGATGATTTGTAATCCTCAATTATATATTTATGTCATTTCATTATCAGATCAAATGATAAATACTGCATGAGAAACCGAACAGTTAGAAATTTATTACTTGAATTATGGTAGGATATATTTACAACCAAAGTCCTCCTAATCAAAAATCAGTAAAGCATATTATTCTTTGCTAAACTGAAATGAATACCTGAATAGTAAAAATGAATACTCCACTATTTATTTATAGCAAAATAATCAGTATATCAAAAATCAAATGATCAGTGCATAAACATAGATTGTTACCATCTTCCTTTTGTGAGGGATACACAGTCCTGGTTCAATTCAACAGCACCATATTTAATTTCTCCAACAATATTTTACCAAACATCACAGCAACAAGTGAAGTTCTAAAATACAGGTAAATAACTGTAGTAGCTGGTATGGCAAATAATTTAAAGGTATTCTTAGAAACAGGAATTATATATTCAGCCAACGTTAAAAGCAAGCAATATAATTATTAATTTAATTCTATTTTCCTATTCCCTATTTTTCACCTCTCAAAATATTTTTAATTATTTATCTACTATACTGTATGCTGGTATTTATCTGGAAAGGCTGATGAAAGTAAAACCTTAATTGATGGTTCCATCCTTCTGAGCATCTTCATGATGCTTGCTAATCAAAGCTATTTTACCTGAAAAAATACTTCACAAGTAGCAAAGTTACGTGCAAAAGGTACTTACTGCTCTGCCATGCTAAAAACTGCACATACTTGGGAAATAGCCTATTTAACCTCAGCACTTGCTGCACCCTTTTTTTTCTCATCATAACCTTTTCTGTGATCTCATAACAAACCAGAACTCAGGCACACTTCTAGTTATTACCGACTGCATAATTCTTCACACATCCATTTACCAGCAGAGCCACCCTGAGTGAGGATTCACTGCCAGTCCCCAAAATCACAGAGCTGGAAACTCAGTCTGAGCTCAGAGGGACTCACAGGAGAAAGTTCCAATCTCCTCCAAGGCAAAAGACTGCACTGTCCTGTTTTCCCAATGTATAACAACTTCATATTTTCTAGTTACATCTCAATAATAAGCAAACTACGCTGGTTTTGAAAAACCTCCACCACATCTGCACAAGCACCCGTGCACACACAGACAGAAGACACCAATTTTTTGCTAAAAGCTGCACAGTCAGAAGCATTTGGGTAACCACTTGTAGCTGCAGCTCTCTTCATAGAGAGCAGGCAGGCACAATTCCCCAAGGATATTTGCTGGGAATCCCAGCGAGGAACCTCAGAGGAAGGGAAAACAATTCTTATCTCTATTCTCTGCTCCTGTTGTTTTTGCACATGTGGAATGTGTTAGGAAGATTGCTTACCTGAAGGGATCTGGTAATTTGATTCTGGTGATGGTTGTTAATATTAAATAACCAATCACTCAAAGCTGTGTCCTGACTGTTGGGAGACAGTCAAGAGTTTTCTTTAGCATGCAATTTAGTATAGTATCTCTTTAATATAGTATAGTGTAATGTGATGTAATATAGTGTAATAAAGCAGCTGTTCAGCCTTCTGAATCAATGGAGTCAGATGCCAACCATTCCCTGTGTTGGGGGCACCCTGATTTTACTATAGCCACTGGTGAGTGGTAAAGCTCTGAGGGCCTCTCCCAGCAGAGTCCTGCTGCTGCATTGCTCCTCCACCTTCAGAGCAGGGCTGAGAGCCAGCAGAATCTATTTGGGGCTGATCCCTCAGTCTCAGTCCACACCTGGAGCCTTCTCCTCCGATACGGGCAAGGTCAGGGGATGGATTCACATCCACTCCCCGGAAGCCATACATGAGCAATTCCTAAAGTCTTTTTCCCCCTCCATTAACAGTGACAGACAATGCTGGCATAACACAATGGAGATTACCTGCTCCTTGTACAGCAGAGTTTCCTCACACAAAGCTGCTGTTACGACACAAAAGAAGTTCCCACATTGGCACTCAGGTGTTTTACTTACACTTGAATGCACCACAGAGCCCTTGTACATTCATGCCCTTGCTCTGGAGCTGTCAGCAGATATTTCACAGCTGGCACCACCCTCTCTGAGACACTCAGGTAGGAACTCAGGGTGAGGGTTGAGCAGAGGGGCATGGGACAAAGCTGTAAGGCCCTTTACAAAGCAATGGTAATTTCTCCTGCCTTCCAACCAGTAGCAGCCAAGTATTCTTATCTCCTCAGTATTACCTAGATAATAAACAATCTATAGTGTTTTCTTCTAAAATATTCTTATCTTAGTTCTCCGCTGTGTTATGAGCACACACACAATCAGAACACAGAATGTTCTGTTGAGATCTCCACCAACTAAAAAGCATTGGAGTCATCCCAGCTTGTAAGTTACATGTTCCTCAAGTAGCTCTAAACGGTAGCGTGTTGATGTCATAAAGTAAATATTTAACTACAGTCATCATTCCTCCAAACAGTTCTCCTTATTTCACACATCAGAAATTTCTGGTTTTCTCCAGGGAGTTTCTGACCACTTCCACCAGTGTTATCCAATACCCCTCATTCTGCTCTTTCCTGCTTCTGTATATACAAGTCACTCCAGCACTTAAATAAAGAATGCAATCCAAAGTCACTACTGGACACACACAAGCACAAACACAAATCACTGTCAGCGCCTGGATTTCCTCGTAGCAAAATCATAACACTCGTGTATCCCCAGAGTTTCCTTGGTGTGCAGCTTGTAACCCAACCCAGCCTATCCCAAAATTTTTCACATAGTTCATGTTCCCAGCACGCAGTATTAAACAAATCCTTACAGCAAATGTGAAGCATTTCATTGCTTCTATCTCGTCCTTTGGAGAAGCCAAAAGAGCCACAGATCCACGTGCTCAGCCTGGCCTCTGCTCTGGGAAGGAGAGCAATGGGAGCTCCTGAATAGGTGTGTGCTGGTGCAAACCAGCCTCATGCATTTCAGGGAACTACTTCTGCCCCTTTCTAGCCTGTGAGGTTAAGGTTTACCGGCACTGACCCAAAACAAACAAACAAAAAACCCCCAAACAATAAAAAGCACCAACAAACCAAAACCAAACCAAAACAAAAAAAAGAACAAACACATTGTTTTCGCATATGTAAAATTACTGCTGGTCCTTCCAGCTGCCTGGCTCGGAGAGCTTGGTGGAGACAAGGCTCTCTGATAGCTAAATGCTTGCTGATAGGTAAAAGCTTGCTTAACCGCGGAGCAGCAGCAGCTAGGTCAGGCAGGTGTCTGGAAACAAAGCCCAGCGTAGTGCCCGAGGGAAAACCCTCCGGCGGCCCCAGCGCTCCCCATGACCCCTGTTTGCCCACGCTCCAGGGGCGTTCCTGCCCCGCCCCGGGGCGGCCCCAGCCGGGGCTCGGGCAGCGCGGACGGGGGCGGCCCAGCTGCAGCCCCGTGACTGCCGCGCCCTGCCGGGAAGAGGCTGTCCCACACCTGATCCCGACAGCCAGGGAAAGGCTGTCCCACACCTGATCCCGACAGCCAGGGAAAGGCTGTCCCACACCCGATCCACACAGCCCGGGAAAGGCTGTCCCAGCTCCTAATCCGCACAGCCCGGGAAAGGCTGTCCCAGCACTCGATCCGCTGGAATCCCGCCACACAGCCAGGGAAAGGCTGTCCCAGCTGCTGATCCACGCAGCCCAGGGAAAGGCTGTCCCAGCTCTTCATCCGCACAGCCCAGGGAAAGGCTGTCCCAGCTCTTCATCCGCACAGCCCAGGGAAAGGCTGTCCTAGCGCCCGAGCCGCTGGGATTCCGCCGTACAACCCAGAGAAAGGCTGTCCCAGCTGCTGATCCACGCAGGCCAGGGAAAGGCTGTCCCAGCACTCGATCCGCACAGCCCGGGGAAAGGCTGTTCCAGCTCCTGATCCGCCCGTCTTCCGCCGCCCAGCCCGGGAGGGGCTGCCCCGTTCCGGGACAGGTAGGGCAGCGCTGGCAGCGGGAAGAGCTGCTCCCTGTGTCCCGGGCGCTCCCCGGTGCAGGTGCCGCTGGCCCGGAGCTGCTGCGGCCGCGGGGCTGGCAGAGCGCCCTGCCCGGCCCCGAGGGGCTGTGGCACGTCCCCGCTCCGGCCGGCGATGGTGTTTTTACCCGTGTCGGGTGACTCCGTGCAGAGTTACGGGTTTGTTTCATGCCTCTGACAAAACGGGCTTTGTACCTGTTCCCGTCGGGGAGATTTTGTTACCTCCTCGGCAGCAAAGGCTCTGCGGTTTCAGAGCGCACCTGGGGCACCCTGCGGGGCTCTTTCCCCGTCAGTTCGCCACCGACCGCTCTCTTGGGCCGGGAGAGGAGAGCAGGGGCGGCCGGAGCGGTGACATGTGCGGGTGTTGCACAACGAGAGCTCCGCAAGAGACAGGCAGGACCAGTTGGGCTCGGTGTCTCTTGCAGGGACCCATCGGCCCGGAGAGCGTGTAGCTGCTTGCGCTGGATGACTTCACGGGCAGGATTCACTCCGGGTTCATCGGTGACACTTCAGAGGATTGCGCTGTCATCCCTGGTTAACTCACGTTGGTTTCTGTCTGACAGATCCCGGCCATGTTCGCGGTTTGGGTGGTGCTGTGTCAGCTGCATGTGACGGTGCTCGCGTTTCCTCACTGCCCTGGGAGATTAAATCACTTGAAGCAGCCGGAATGGAGAGATGGTAACGCAGTTTTAACGTGACTTCGTGCTTTCCAAAATTGTTTCTGACTTTGCTTTGCTGGCTTCTTTAGTTGTTTGGTTATTGTTGTGGTTGTTGTTGTTTTGGGTGTTTTGTTGTTTGGTGTTTTTTGGGTTTTTTTCAGTTTTTTTTGTTTGGTTGGTTTTTTCTACTTTATGAAAAAATTAAGCTGTTTTGTGCTTAATTTCAGATTATTTTAATACCTCTTGCTGAAATTATTGATAATTGACTTTGGTGTTAATATCAAAGTATTTATCAGATCTTGCAGTAAGCGCAGATTGGGACAACTGAAGTTTTTCCGGCCCTCTGGGGTTATTGTGGTTGATACAACCAAAATCCTTTAAGTAACACCAAAATTCAAAAAGTTTGAAACCTGTGTTAAGGCAGTATTGTTTTGTTACTATTTGATCACTTCACAGTTGTATTTGTATATCTGAAATTGCTTAGCATTTCAAAGGGTTTATTTGGTTGTTTTTTGAAATCCATATTTTCTCTCAATACCAGGCTCCCTTACACCACCTGGAAAGATAAGCATAGCGCTGCTTTTGCAGTTCTTCCCTGTGCAGGGAGAGAAGTGGGGAGGAACTCATATAAAAGCAAATAAATTCCCCAGAGAGACTCAAACACTACGAAGCAAAGGCATTCGATGGTTAGCATTTTAAGGGCTTCAAAAAGGAATTTCTGGCTCAGCTGTCCAGTCTTCTCAGTGCACAAGGAGTGCTGAAACCTTAAGACAGGTTTTTAAAAGTCATCACATGGAGCAGGAGGCTCCTTCAGGGCAGTATGTGGAGCAGAAACCATGGCTAGAAGAAAAATGTTTGTGAGAGACGATTTGTTAAAAATCCATTTTGCTCTGGGCATAAAACATTAGGCTGCCTCTTCCTGCGAGCTCCTGTGAGAATTCTCTCCTCACTGTAGGCCCAGACCACTCCTCCTTTAAAGAGGAGTTGTAAAGAGAAGTGTCCAATTAATATCCAATTATATCAATATAATATTAATATTCTACTATAATATAAATAATATTAATATCAATAAAATATTGGATATGTATTTTTAATTTTTATATATATAAATAATCCAATAATTCAGCAAGTAGAACAGTTGCCAGAGGTATGGGGTACCTACATTGAGAGGTCCCCCTTCAGCATTTTCTGAACATCTTTTACCAGCAGAGTTGATTTACTGAGAGTATTGTGTGGTTGCATTTTTAATTAAATGCTGGACATCCTAAAACTGCATGGATCATTTTATCAAACCAGGGACTGCAGACCTGCATCCAGGTCCCTCACATTTAGGACACAATTCAAATCCATCTGTTTCATTCTTCAAATACTGTTTTAATCACTCATAGCAAGTAAGTTGGAGATGGAGATATATGACAAAGTTAAAAAAGTGCAGATAAATGGATACAAATCCTTGAAAAGAAAAAGTGGGCCATGTTTCCCTGGGAATTGAGGGTTCTAGGCTCCAGGCAGTTTGATTATGCATTCCATTTTAAACAAAATGCATGAGTTTTCCAAGTTAATTCAAAGGACAGCTAATACTACTTGCATGGTAAAGAGTGAAACACTACTGAGCAAAACTGAAGATCTCTGCTTCAAAAGACTGAAGTTACTTTTGTAATTTGCACTAAACTAAGAATATTGATTTTTTTTTTTCCCCCCGATGTAATTATTTTCCCTTTCCACTTGTGGCTTTGAGGGAGTTTTGATTTTGGTTTTGGCTTTTGGTTTTGGGGTGGGTTTTTTGGTTTGTTTGTTTTTGTTGTTGCTGTTGTTTTGTTTGGGTTTTTGTTTGGTTTTCTTTGGTTTTTGTTTGTTTGGGTTTGGTTTTTTTTTGTTTTGTTTTGTTTTTTGGGTTTTTTTTGTTAATTCCTTTTCTCTGGTTACTGTTTAGGTATAGTATAAATATTTTAAGCTTGTATTTTCTTGCAATTGCTTTAGAATAACAAAAACAAATGCATGTGCACATGTGTAGCTACTTCAGTACACAGTGTAACAGTATGCAAATTATATAAATATATGCTGCCTATTCCTTAAATATACTATTGTATTAAAGACTAAACAACCAATATGTAAGTTATGGTGCAGTTTCCTCAGTTTTCAGAGAGGAAAGTGTTATGAGATAGCACTGCAAGATTTAACAGTAACTCTTAGGGTGAAAATTCCAGAGCGATGTGATAATCTTGCCAAACAGGCTAACAAGAACACAAAGCTAATTTGTAGCTGAATAACTTTATCCTGAATCTCATCTCCTTTTTCAGCCATCCTGCTTGGTATGTGACAATGCTGTTTCTGCATTACACTTGCAAAAATAGTCCTCTAGGCATTTTGCTCAACCAAAGAGCCTGAATTTCGTGGACATAGATTAGGCTTTCACTAGAAATTTGGTTTTGTCTGTTTTTTTTTTGTTTTTTTTTTTTTTTTTTTTTAAGACACTGGAGCAAGAGCAGGCTAAAACTTGACTATGGAAAATGCCTAGTGAGGAAATACATTCCTGTATTCCAAAGCCTTCTATAATTTCACTCACTGTTCTGGAATCTCACCTCACCACTTACTCCATGAGGCCTCATGGAACACAAAAGAAGAGAATCTCTTCTTTTCAGAAGTCTTCAGAAATGCATGTTGTCAGTAAAATTCATATCATGGACAAATTTAAAACAAATTAACTTGGCAATAAGGCACCTTTACATAAAGTTTGGTGCCACAATTGTGAAAAGAGAACAATTGCAGAATGAGTAGGAGTCTGCTGATGTGATAAAATTTGGTACTCACAGATACCAGAGTATTGATAAATGTATATTTGGTTTTTTCCTTCCCCTACCCTTGTCTCCTTCCCCCACGAGGTCAGGGTGTTGTTTACTTTGGATCTGACTGAATTCTGCTTTGTGTGACAATTACTTTGTTCTTAAGAGCTCCAGTAAAAATTGATGCTCGCTTCCCACCAGAGGTCACACCAAAACTTGACTAACATTCTCATGACAATCAAATTCTCTTGGCCACGATAAGGAATATCTGAGATGGCTTATGAGAAAGGCAAATACATTTATTTCATGTTACATAATTAGAAAATATAGGAGTGAAGAAGACATTGTAGGAGGAGACCTTGATATTTCTTTCCCTTGTGCATAGCTGAGAGATGCCAGGGAAAGAAATTATCCCAATGTTCTCCTTTAAAATCTTTACCATTCTTTAAAAAATACCAAATCTAGCCTTCCTAATTTGTTTTAAATCAACTTGATTTTTTTTTTTTTTTTGCATTAGTGTTCACATCTGCAAGGGAGGCCAATTTATTCATTGGACGACATCTTCTGAACAACAGATTTGATTTTGAAGCATTCACAGCCGATAACCTGGAAAGGGAATGCTATGAAGAAGTCTGCAATTATGAAGAAGCAAGAGAAATTTTTGAAGACCCTGATAAAACGGTAGCAGTTCAAATTGAATTTAATATAGTGAGGGAGGTTATGGGCTAAATAACCGTATTTTTTGTACACAAATTATTGTAACATAAATTATTGTACACAGAGACTGTAACTCCTCTGACACAGCACTGAGAATCAACTACTTATTTTGTTCTAAAAGCAGATATCCCAAACATGGGGTTCTTGCTTTAGATACACAGTGAATGCACTTGAATATGTTGAATAATGTCTTAATATATGAATAATGTCTTCATATATGAATGTTGTCTTAATATACGAATATTGTCTTAAAGACTTTAGATGTGGATTTAATTCTGCAAACAAATAGAAATGAAGCTTCAGAAGTCCCACTTGTGGCTATTCCTATATTTTCATACTTCTGGATTTTTTTAGTAACTTCTCAGCATCCAATTGGAATGTTTCACATTATTCATTATTAGCATATTAATTGGCTGATCGCATCCTTGTGTCATGCTCAGAAGTGTTTTGTAAGAGGCCAGTGTGGAGCAAAGCTGCAGTTCAGCTATTGCTGAGTATTCCTGTAGCACCACATTCTAGCTCCCCATCTAGATGTGGCTGAGAAGAAACCCAGTTGTATATATATATAAATATATATATATATATAACCAATGAGAAACCTTTCAGCTCAGTAAAGGAATGTGAGGATTGTCTGCAGACTGGTTGTTGCACAAGCAGCAAGCATCTCTTTGTCATTCTAGGTGTGCTCTGCAGGAGGAGTGAGGAATACACACACCCCTGTTCTGTTCTAAAGGTGGAAGCGTTAGCTTGCCATTGCTGACAATTTCCTAAGAAAAAGGTCAAATTGCTAAATTGAAATCTTGCTGGAGTCTTTTGCTTGGTAGCAAAAGTGAAAATTATAACTCAACACATTTAATGCCTGATGGTCATAAAACATTCAAGTTTTTCTCTTAAATGAATCCCACTATTTTTCCTAGCTGATGTGAATTGAAATACAGTTCATGCAATTAAGAATTTAACTTTACCTCAAAAACTGTTTTGTAGGGACTTGCAAAAAAATAATTGTAAGCATTTTTTGGTGTCAGAATATACCCTAATTTCTATTGTAATCTGGCAGAAATATGAGGTAACACTGGATGGTTAAACACATTTTTTTCTTTTACCAACTGGGATCTGAGAATTTTTAATTCAAAGCTGTAGAAGAAAAATAGCATGAGTAAATACAAATCCCTCAGCAGGAACTATTTCTGTTTATGCCACTGTTAAATTCTGCCCAAGGTACCCTATTAAATATAAGTCAATAGGCCTGTAACTTATGTATCTCCTATAAATCTGATTCTTTTCTGTGTTTTATAGATGGATTTTTGGAAAGACTATTCAACTAAAGGACCTAAAATAAAAATAGGTAAGTCATCTTTTTATTTTTTTATTATATTGCAATATTTTCTGGTTGTTATAATAGTACATTCTTAACAGATCATGCATTCAGTTGAGGAAATCAGAAGTTATCTTTTTACTGAAGATCACTGTGAACTGTACAAATATATTTAATTTTCTGATATAATAAAACTGAAGCTTCTTAAAGTGGGATCCATTATAGGTCTGTAGGTAAAAACAATAATTTCCTTGACCACTTCTTTATTACACAATTGGTAAACTGTGCAGTAATTTTGTGGCTGTGGTTTGGTTTTGTTTTCTTTAATACTAATATATAACAGTCTGATTTAGGCTCAGAGTAGTCTGATGCCAGATGTTTAATTAAAAAAAATAACAAATAAAATAAAAAGTTTAACTGACCTTATCAGGTCAGTTGGACCTGATCAAGGTCACAAGTACATGAAGGAATATTTGGAAGGCTTTGGAAGGGAGGGATCTCAACAGTTTCACGTAGAGAAAAGGGGGCATTGACTCCCTTTTGCTTTAAGTTGACTGTGAATGATTCTCTTGGGTTGTGTTGCACAGATTTACAGCTTCTAACAGCACGTTAGACATTTGTGGAAGGAGCAGCCCAAAAAAAGCAGTATTTGACAGTGTGCACTGCAGGCTGGGTAGATGGAAAGAGCACAGTGAAAATCACCAATGTTTTCTCTCCAGGTGATGAGGCACTACAGAAGATCAATGTCACAGGGCTGCTCATCAGCCTGGTTGCTGCTGGGGTACTGTTGGTTATAATTGTTCTGATTATCTTCTACTGCTGCAAGAGCAGATGCAAATCAAGGCAACCACCAGGGTAAGGAATTTCACTGTTTAACAAACCCAAACACACACAATACAAACTCTCGCTTGAGAGTGGCATTTAAAAATCACTGTGGGTTGGTCTATTGTATTCTCAGAAAATCCAGTGGAAGTTCTAGTTCTTACTTGCCTAGAAGCAAAGTTAAGTGAGCACCAACAGTAGTTATGCTGCAGTTAATAACACAAAATCATAAAACAATATTGCACACCCAAACCTTTGGGCTTGCCTTTTTTTTATTGCATGTGTCTGTCTTCTTGGTTTCAAAATATTCTTACTAAGATGATGGAATAATTTTAGTAGGTGGGGGCCTGCAATGGGAAGTCTAACATGTTCTGTTGGTGCTTTCAAATAAGCTGTATGCTCTCATGGCATGTGCTCTACCTCAGATGTGAAGTGGTTGTGGTAGTGGATGATGAAAAAGTTTGGAGGAAATGCTTTTTTACCAAGTCTCTGATGCTATTGAGTCAGGGATGGATTAAATGATTCTATGGTTCAGAAGGTGAAAAAGAGAGAGAATACTTTATTGAGAGGTAGCATCTTTTTATAACTAGGATTGCTAAGGTGAAATTTGATTAGTCTCAAAGTAAAACTTTCTCACACTGTTGGTGAACTATGAATAGTACACTCTGAAGGGACATATCTATAAACAATACGAACAGAAAGAGAGATAATAATTGTTTTCATTCTTCTTAAGTTTCCCAGGCCTGAAGCCTGGGAGAATTCTCTTTGACTGAACTGAGAATCTCTACAAGTCTCTACTCCTGAGTGCTCCTTTGTCCTAATCTTGAAAGGAATATAAAAGGATTCTGTGCTTTCTCTTCCCTATAAATTTCACATCACTGAGCTATTCTTACCTGTGGTTTGGAGAGAGTATTTGGCTTCTGGTCCGTGTGATCACTGAAGGCATGGTTCTTCTCTTGTGGGGGTTTTTTGGGTTGTTTGGGGTTTTGTTTATTTTATCATTAAGACTTCATCTCCTTGCTTCTCTTTAAAGCAGAACTTTCCACTTACCTGCTGCTACCTTTGTTTAGGTACTTGGGTTACGTGAGGAGCAGGAGACGGAATTCAGCCAGCATCTTCAGGAGGCACGAGGAGTTCTCCTTAAACCCCGTTCCCGTCGGTGCTGACGAGTCAGGGCTGCCCACCTACGAGCAGGCAGTGACCTCTGATGCTGTGCCCCCACCCCCGTACCCAGGGCCCCCCAGGCACCCACGGTTCTTCCAAAAGTCCATGTCCCTCCCTGGCCCCTAGGCACAAACCTCCTGCTGGGCCGAGGGGGATTGCTGGACCATAACATGCTTTTGAAAAAAGTGCGTGCTACCTTGCATATTGCAAGATGATTTACAGAAATGTGAAAGATCTTCTGCACAACGAGGAAGGAGTGAAGTTCCCATGTGGGAAAAGAGACACAAAGGCTGCAGGACTGTTCTTTGCACAAAGGCACTGTGCCAAGAGGAGAGAATGCATAAAGAGCAAATTTTGTACTGCTGCCCTCTTCCATATGAGCCAACCCATCAAACTATTGATGCTTCATTAATAGTTTCATCTTCTTTTTCTTCAGAAAGAAGAGTATTTTAATTGCTCATATTGACATTAGCTATTTTTTGTGACTTAATATTTTAAACCACCGTAAGAAGTCTATTTTGTTGTTTGGCATATTCACTTCTTTGTAGGTTGAATTTTCTATTCATTCTTGTAATAGATTGGAGTGTGAAAATTATTTTGTGACTTGATCTGTCAAATATATATATATATTTATATATATATTTATATTTTATATATATATATATATCTATAGTACCGCTAGTGGATTACACTGGTTTTGTTTAGACATTGCTGGTCACATGACTTACTTTGTTTTATTTTTATGATCATAATTTTGCATCAAAAGGAAGCATTTGTTACATGGCACACTACCAATTCTGACAAAGTACACTTGCATCAAGTTGTTTTGATGTTGAACAGTAAATACCAGGTCAAAGAGAGGAAATAGAATACTGTGGGCCAGTGGATGGTAAGCAAAAAGCCAGAGATTTGCCCCTTTTTAAAAAGCTACCCAGGTTTCACAACTAATGTTTCTTTCATAGCTTAAAAGCTGAAATGTAGAGAGACACATTTAACTTTCAAACCAAAGCCCAGCCTACTCCATAGAAGCACTTTAATGTCATGCACTACAGGGATGACAAAAATTATACTTTTAAGTAGAATGAAACATCATATTAGATCAAAAATCAAGAGACAAGAACTTGTGGGAGTTATTGGTTCACTGTGTCAAGACAGTTTCTGTACCTACAGCTGTAGCCACCATAAATTTTACGTCTTATTAAAATATCAACCCCCAGCATTATGCAGCCCATGGGTCCTGCTGAGCAAATTGCTGCCACCACTTGTGTCCCCTCCTCAGCACAGGAGCCGGAGCAGAGGGTCTCACAGCAAACATGTCAGGCTGTTCTCTTGTTTGACAGCGGCTGTACAGTTAAGGCACAAACAATTAAAGAATTTTTTAGGATGGAACAACCCTCGCCTTTTTTCCACTTCATTGAGTTAGTGCTGACAACAGCAAATTCTCTTTCAATTTGGTGCCTACAATCCACTTGTTATTGTAAGTTATTGGCTTAAGGGCTGAAATGAATATGTAATATTTCACTGAATCTCATTGTTTTTAACATACTGGAAGCTACAGTGTTGTTGAGCGAGATGCAGGAAATTGGTCTGAGATTTTCAATCTGTAAATGTCTTTGTAACAATGGAAACACTTCAAATCTTGGAATGTGAAGGGGGTACACTGACAGTGCTACACAATGAATTCTTGCCCTTTGGAAAACAAATACAATGCAGTTGGTAGCAGTGCCATTGCTGTTCCTGTTCACAAAATTTCGCCATCCAGTTTGGCTTTTGGTGAGTCACAAATCTCTCTCCAGCTTCTTTTTTTTTTTTTGTTGAGACCTGGGGAAATCCCCATGCTGGGATGTTTCAATTCACTTTTGCCCTACTTGTGAGAGCATTTTGAAGTTCTTGAAGTTCTGTGAGGCTGAAATAAATGAATTGTGTGAGGTCACTGTTGATAATCAAAATACAAGGTTATGAGAAGCTATGCAATCATAAGCTTGCAAAAACATTCTGCCATATTTCCCTTTCATTTAGCTAACAATTTTTAAAATTTTTGATGTAATTTTGAGCTCTAGAGCACACTTTTACCTAGATTTTTCCTGGGACTCAAAAATTATTAACTAATGGAACTGACAGGAGCACTGCAAAGGAAAGGGATTTCACAGGGCTTGTGACCATCCAGAGAGTCTTTAATGTTACTACAGACATCTGGCAAAGCCAGATTTTAAATACGCTACAAAAATTGTACAGAATCCCATTCAATCACTGGAAATTTGATTTTTCTACTGTTCCTACAAATTATTTGTAACTGATTCCATGCTATACAAGCAAAAATCTCATCCTTCATAATTAATCAAAAAACTTAAAGAGGGTGTAACTGTTAAACATCAGTTGTGTAGTGGTTTGGCAGTAAACTGCCCTTTCAGTAGAGTAAAACACTCAAATTTACTCACGGAGTCTGCACCTTAGACCCTGAAAATGTGCAGGGTCTGACATTCAAACACTGGTTGCACATACCATGATAATTTGGAAGACACATCCTGCCCTTTACAAAGAAGGAGCAAAGTTTAAAATTTAGTTGAATACAGTGTAAACTTACCTCTCCTTGTAGAGGGACAAACTTCCTTTGAATGGCACTTGTTTGGGTTGAGTTTGTTTTCCTTCTTTCATGCACTGACTCCTGGCCCACTCTTACCTTGTATCTTGTCTCTTTTTAGAACTCATGATTCAACAGGGTTAACAGAGGGAAAATAAACAAGAGACAGACTATGAGGAGTTATGAATTTAGATTAAAATGAAAATGAATTTTTTTTTTGTCACACTTGCAAATTTTACATGTAGCTTCCTTTGAAAATGGAGTTGCTATTAGAATACATAAAGCAGGAAATTACTTGTAACAGCAAATAACCCTGACAGAGGCTAGGGTTGGACTGGATATTGGGAAAAAATCCTTTACTGTGAGGGTGGTGCTGCACAGGCTGCCCAGAGAAGCTGTGGCTGCCCCTGGATCCCTGGAAATGTTCCAGGCCAGGTTGGATGGGGCTTGGAGCAACCTGGTCCTGTGGAAGGTGTCCCTGCCCATGGCAGGGTGTCTGGAACTGGATGATCTTTAAGGTCCCTTCCAATCCAAAGCATTTTGTGATTAAGTAGGAAGAGGAGGAGGAAGATTTTTGAGGAGCAAAGCAGCAGCAAGTTAACCTAACTTGTACAGAGGTGTAAACTATCAGTGTTTTGATTTTGGCATTTCTTTCCAGGACCTTTAGGAAAGACAGTGGATTTTAAGTGGTTTAACAGAGATCTACTGTGACAGTTGAAAACAGAACTGTCTAAACAAAACACTGGTAAACACAAATATTCTGTTTTAAATGTGTCACTCTAAGTACTGTGAGCCATTGCCTTGAACAGCCTTTTCAGCATCACAGGAGATTACAGCATGCAACCTTTTATAAAACAAGACAGTTTATTAATTAGGGCAAATAATAAGGGTCAGAAAAGTGATCTCTGGCTGTGTCAGTTGAAAAATAAATCACTGAACCTGCTTACAGCTGCAATAAGAAAGCCTGCTATGTGATCTATCAGTTATGCATTTATAGGCTGGGGGGTTGTTGGGGTTTCTGTGAATTCATTAGGACAGCAAAACCAAAGTACCACGTGGAAGTGCCCTTACCCCAGCTCGTGAAAATGTGAGCTGTGAAGCATTTGATTCTGGTCCTTTCAAGGTTTTTTATTGGCTTCAGCTGAACTGGGATTGGAGCAAAAAATGAGATAGCTGATCACTTCAGGTAATAAAAAATATAATGCTCTGCCAAATTCTTTACCACAATGCTGTTGCCAAACCCAGTTCAGAGTATTCTATTGTTATAATGATGCCCACTTCTATTAATTAGAATGTTTCAGGCTGATCTGCCCTTAAAAGTTATATTTGAAATTTGAAAAGCATAGCAAAATTCCTTATCATTCCTGAGATTACCAGCTTAAAGATTAATTTATTATGGCAGCTTATTAGCAACACTAATTTATCTTTAAATAAACCATCAAAGCAATAAAAAACCTGAAAAACCAGCAACAAACCCAACTTTTCTGTCCACAGTCTCTCCTGCCAAAAGAAGTTTTACTGCTGCTATCCTTGCTTGTTCCATGTGGTATAGAGAACAGGAAGGAAATTCTGGATCTAAAAGCCATTTTCAAACACATCAAGCTTGGTCTTTCCATACTGTAAACATCTTTCAATTAATTCCTGTCACTACAAATTTATCACTATCATTTCCATAATAAAGAACTTGCATGTGTTTTCCTCTCAAAAATCTTTAGCAGATTCTCAAATAACCTGCTCTTTATTTAGCTATTTTTGACTATTTCCAGTCATTATGAACTGTATAAGCAATTACTTAATCTTATGAATATATTTCCTTCTACTCATCTGTCAGAACATTTTGAATGCACTTGTCACTGGCTATATTTAATTCTAACTTTGATTTCAAGTGCTGTCATATTTTGGGTGATGGGTAGCACTATTTTAAGCACTGCTAGTGTCTATATTATTTTTAAAAACAATTTCCAAATAAACATTTATATAAATTAATCACAACAAAAGAGAAAATGCTAATTTAGCCCATGATTAAAAAATTTAAAAAACCTCTCAACCCTTTTGATTTCTTTTAAATGGAGTTGGTAACAACTCTTCTGAAAGCACTTAAAGGGGGCTCACAAGAAAAATGGAGACAAACTTATTAGCAGGGCTGTTGTGACAGGATAAGTGGTAATGGTTTTAAACTGAAAGAGATTTAGACTACATATAAGGAAGGCATTTTTACCATGAAGGTGGTGAAACGCTGGCACAGAGAAGTTTAGGATCCATCCCTGGAAACATTCAAGGCCAGGTTGGATGGGGCTCCATCCATGAAGGTGTTCCTGCCCAGAGCAGGGTTGGAATTAGATGACTTTCAAAGTTCCCTTCCAACCCAAACCATTTTACAGTTAGATGATTCTTCATGCCATCTAGCACTTATTGGGAGAGAAAAAGGGCTACGGTTTGTTTTCTTTAACATTGGCAATTTCTGCTCTGGACAAAATCTTCCTGCTCCACTGCTCCAGTTTAGCCGAGCATCTGAGGTTCATGAACTGCAGACACTGAAGATGAACTCTTCAAGACTTAACCAGGTGTTAAGCCTTCCATCTTCCTTGACTTTTGTCAGGCCTTTGGTGAGAAGATTTAACACAATGGTATGACCAAAAAATACCACTTTCCTAGGGGTAGTGAAGTAAGTAAACCCCCCCCCCCCCCCCCCCCCCTAGTTATTTTTAATTAATAGCCAATCACAGATGCAGCTGCATCGGACTCTCTGGAAGGAAAGAGTCTTGGTTATGTGTTCCATTCCTGTTTTTTCTAACCTTCTGATGAATATTTTCTCTATATTCCTTTAGTATAGTTTTAACGTAGTATTTTAATATATCATAATATATTCTACCAGCCTTCTGAAACATAGAGTCAAAGCTCGCGTCTCCACACATGGGGCACCAGACACAGCACAGAACACGCAAAAGCAAGGCAGGAAGCAGGAGTTCCTCATTTGGTAATGGTAATTTCAATCTGAAGTGGAGGCACACATGATGCAGTGT